CTACGAGATGCTTCTGGAACGAAGCGTAGCCGGAGAACTACCCCATGGTTGCGCAACACAAACTGCCCGACTATTCAACTGCACGAGACAGACGATTTCGAACGTGTGGGCAAGAGGACGCCTCTCACTACTCAGCGGTAGCACGACGGCCGACGTGTCGGCAAAATACAAGGGTAAAACCTCTATAATATAATATTTCTGCGTCAGACTATAATTTTGTACATGTCTTAATTCAAAGAGTTTTACGATGTTAGGGAATCAAATCCGAAAGATTCAACACTCTGATGAAGAGATTGAGAGTTTGATTCGGGCTGTCCCTTTGCATGATCGGCAAACGATGCGTACACTAGCAACCAAGACAGGTCTCTCGAAGACAACGATCATTCGCCACATGCAGCGAGTAAAGACATTAAAATTCAAGTTAAGTCATTCGAAGCCGTTCTTAACGGAAGCCAACACGAAAACCCGTTTGAAGCACGCGCTTTCTTTTCTTCGGCCGTCGTCGAATGGAACCATTTTCGACAACATGAACTCATATGTACATGTTGATGAGAAATGGTTCTTTTTGACGACAGTCAAGAAGTCTTTCTATGCTTACGACAATGAAGAACGTCCGAAGCACCAGCTCAAGTCCAAATGGTATGTTACCAAAGTCGTGTTTCTTGCGGCAGTCACACGACCACGATAGACCGCCACAAAAATGCATTTTCGATGGAAAGATCGGTATTTGGCCTTTTGTCGAGACTGTTGTGGCCCAAAGATCAAGTGCAAATCGGCGAAAAGGTACTCCGGTTATCGCACCTGTGAATGTGACTGCGGATGTGTACCGCACGATGCTTGTTGAGAAGGTTGTTCCAGCAATTAAGGCAAAAATGCCCAGACATGACCAAATTAAAACAATATATTTGTAGCGAGATAATGCGAGTCCACATAATAGTGTGACAACGCAACTGCTGCTTCAGTCTGGTGTTATTGGCATTGAAGCTGCAAATCAGCCACCTAATAGTCCAGACTTAAATGTCTTGGATTTAGGTTACTTCAACTCAATACTAAGTCTACAAAGCCAAAAGTGTACTTAGACCATCGAGGAGCTAATTGGTGCAGTAGAAAGCTCATTTGTTGAGCTGCCTTGTGACACATTGTCGAAAACCTTCATTACTTTGCAAAATGTGATGGAATTGACGCTTAAATTCTTGGGGAAAAATGATTATGAGCTTCCTCATATGAGTAAAGATGCGACTATCAAGGACTTGACATTGTTTAATGTCCGTTGTGATCCTCTTGTCCATGAAAAAGCACTGGCTCACATGGCCGCAGAATGAATCCCCAAATCCGAGTAGTAACCGCAATAAAATAAAATGTCATTATATTTTTGTAATCAAATATGTTCTTTCAAGGTTCAATACAAACATCAAGATGTTTTTTGGCACATCAATACTTTAATCAAGATAAAAAAGTGTTAACATTTGATCGGACCAGAGTAGTATAGTTTAACAGTAAATGAGACAAATGGATGCGAATGCTATTTGGCGAAATGAATCACAAGTCCAAATTTGGGTGAAATGCACAATATTGTTCTCCATTATGACTTGCTGCATCGCATCCGAGTGACCATTTCACGGCTCTCCAGCTCGCGTATTACCGTTTTCGGTAATTACTTTGTTCGGTGATGAACTTGTTCAGCTTCATCATCTATAATAATGTGTAAGTAAGTACAATTACATGTACTGCGTGAACCTGTCAGATCACGCCGTGTCGGTGCTTCACCCGCGTGGTGATACTTGTTGCAGTGTTCGTTGTACTGCCTTCGGGTGTGGATAGACATACCGTCATCCCTGAGGCACATGACAAGATTGTTTCCCTCCATGGCAAGCAATGAAGAAATGGAAATGAACATGCTAATGGTAGCATCCGGACTATGTCTGTATCCGTATAGACCGCCCTGTGATCAGTCATTTGCGTGTTCATTTTATAGGTACATTATTGACCCTCCAATTGACAGGTAACATGACTGATACTACTTCAACCTTATTTTCGCAGGTCAAACGACTGCTCACAATTTCGACCCTCCTTTTGACAGGTCATAGACTGTTCATTATTTCGACCGTCTTTTGGCACGTCAGGAACTCAATATACAGTACTTAACCAAAATGAGCTATATTCAACAATGTTTAACTGCGCATTCCAAGCGATCGCTTTCATTTCTTCGGTTTTGGACCAGGCATCGACTATTTGTGAGCACCGACCAAAGCCTTCGGTGCTTGTGACGACGAGTCACACACTAAGTCCAATGGCGCAACGGGCGTTAAATGGGCGACATAAATTGTGTTGTACTGCCCGCACGAGTAGTATATACAGCGTCAATGGATCTTGTTGCAGGGAATTCAGGCATGCCACGCATGAATGCACGACTTTCTGTGGTCAATCCACATTTTGCAATCACATGTGTTCAATACCAAGTCCACGTTAGTGTCTGCTTAGTGCACTAGCAGCATCGTCATTAGCAGTAAGCCAGAGTCCATTTGCCCTTTTGATGTTGGCGACGATGTGCCGCATGCAAAAACGATGCGGAGTTTTCGGGCACACAGAGTTGCAAGCATTTATGCGCCCTACACGTTTGACTGAGAAAAAGATGTGTGTCTTATTTCACCTTTTTGTCTGTCAGATAAAAGAACGGGATGGCTGTCCAAAGCGCCAGCGCCTTTTAATAGATTCAGGAATCACGTCCAGTTTGACCGTCTTCAATTGGAACGATGGCGATAGCTACATACCTCAGTATCAATTATGCAAGCCATAAATATCAGTCAGGTGATGAATACTAGTATTACCAAGGTTTAAGAGTTCATTGTTTGGATCCGTTATCGTAGCGAGTAGCAGCACGCCGTTCGTGTTCATAACGTCCTTAAGGTGCGTGCCTGTTGTACAGTTAGTTTCTGATGATTGTATGTGTATCTTTTACCATCACGTGCGATTATGGCATGACACAATTAACTGACGTAAGCGCACAACACACACAGATGTAGTTGTAGTGGCTCAAAGGAAGGTGATTCAGAAGTGAGCTTAGCTCTAGAACCTCCATAATTATCATCGCCAAAGACATGCATACGTGTAAGTAGTGCAACCTTAGCTGCACTGATTGAAGTTTGTCATATCTCTCAATATATGCAACCTTCAAGTAGTGTGTGTAGGATCAAAACAAGGTAGCTATTGGCCCTCGACACACTGAAGTAGTCGAGGGATGTGAAGCCTGGAGCTCTTCCAGTTTCAATATCATATACTACTCTGTTCCGGGAAAAGAGGTCGGTTTGTTTATCTTGATTAAAGTATGGTTGACTGCCTGAAAATATCTTAAAGTTTGTATTGACCTTTGAGATTACATATTGCGACACAAAAATATAATGACATTTTATTACATTCAAATTAGTACTCCTACTTGGGAATTCAAGTGTCATTCATGAATGCAAGTGCGTTCTCGTGCACGGTTGCATCGCATTTGACGTTGAATAATGTCAAGTCCTTAATCATAGCATCCTTTCGCATGTGAGGGAACTTGTAATCGTTCCTTCCCATACTCTGAAGAGTCATCTCCATCACCTTTTGCAAAGTGATAAAGTTTTTCGACAGTGTATCAAAAGGCAGCTCATGAAATGAGCACTCTACAGCATCAACAAGCTCCTCAATTGTGCGAGTAAGCTTTTGACTTTGTAGGCTTTGAATTGAATTAAAGTATCCTAGGTCTAGGACATTTAAATCTGGACTGTTTGGGGGCTGGTTGGCAGCCTCAATACCAATAACACCACGCTGTAGCAGAAGCTGCGAAGTCACACAGTTATGTGGACTCGCATTATCTTGCTGCAAGTATATTATTTTTTTTTGATCTCCAACAGGAAATTTTTCTTTAATGGCCGGTATAACATTCCGAATAATCATGTCCCGGTAAACTTCCGCAGTAACCGTTTGTGGAACAGTGACTATTGTACCCTTCGGACGATTTTTACTTGAACGTTTCGCAGCCTCCTGGGTTATGAACGGCCACACACCCAATTTACCGTCAAACATACACTTCTTGTTAAAGTCGTAACGGGGCCGCGTCACGGCCGCCAAAAACATGACCTTCGTGATAAACCTCTTGGACTTGAGTTGACGAGTCGGCACAACTTCATCGTTGTACGCATAATATCTTTTCTTAACAGTCGTTAAATAGAACCATTTTTCATCAACATGCACTGTTTGGTGCATGTTGGAAAAAATAGCTCTATTCGACGACTGCGAAAGAAAAGATATTGCGTGTTCCATACGCGCTCGCTTGTTTTCTTCGGTGAGGGTAGGGCTTGGAGTAGCTGGACTTGGACTTGAGCCTTCCTTCTTCAGCCATATGGCGTACGAGCGTCGTCTTGGGCACACCCGATTGCGCCGCCAGGGACCGCAAGGTTTGCCGTCCATGAAAAGGGACAGCCTTGACGGCACGCTCGATGTCGGCGGGAAGGTGGCGACGTTTCCCTCCCGAATTTCCTTAAAAAGTACAATTGTAAGAATCAATAATTGTGCAAATCAATATTTGTATCTGTTTTGAGAGGAATACCTTTGAATTTCGAGTCAACGTCGGCGACGCGATCGCCATCGAGCACAGAGAGGAGTCCGCGCGTCCACACGCGCTCCACCGTACGCCAGTAGCAATTGAACATCCGTGCGACATCAGTGTAGGATCCATGAGGTAGTATGCGGTCGCTGCTGCGCGACAAGAGCTCCTCGTAGATGGCGCGGCGCACTTCGTTTGACAGCTTCCGCTTGTCGTTGTTGGCGATTGAGACACCGGGGGCAGCAGTCGTAGATGTAGTCGGCATCGTTGGCGTGTGTAGTACAAAGGTTGTATTGGTCACAAGGGTTCAAATTTAGTTTTGAAGCCTCAGCGGGTCGATTGGTGTGCAGCAAAATGAGACATCAACTTCCCGCCGCCATAACTTTCACGCAAAAAGGAGCTAGAACACGCGCAAAAGAACCAATCAAAGACGAGAGTCTGCGCTCTTTGGTGAGCCAATTAGAATCACAAGAGCTGCAATATTAGAAAAATCCCGCCAATCGAAAGTCAAACCGACCTCTTTTCCTGGAACAGAGTGGTATATAGTTTTATCTATGTACCTTCAATCCTTGTCTGCCTATGGATAACACTCCCACTAAGAGCTCTCTGGTTTCACCATAGCTAAATCTTGCACACCCTGCCCTTAAGCATGCAAACTGTTGCTGAGCCAGTGGCTTAGTCAGTATGTCTGCAATCATCTCTTTTGATGAGCAATAATTTAAGCTTATTTTCTTCTTTTCAAACAGTTCACGAGTGAAGAGTGTTCGAATATCAATATGATTTGTACCCTTGTCGTTTCCTGGGTTTTTGACGCAATCAATTGCAGCACGGCTGTCACACCATACTGTAATTGGGCGGTTTAACTTTAAACCCATTTCACTCAAAAGTGCGTGAATCCATTCACATTCTTTGCAGCCTTCACTAAGGGCCACTAACTCTGCCTCTGCTGTGGATAGCGCTACGCAGTGCTGTTTAGAGCTTGCCCAGCTGACACAAATCCCTGCCATCCGAATTAAATATCCGGAGACGGATTTACGATCTTTTGACTGACTCGCGAAAGAAGCGTCCGTGAAGACATCGTAGTCTATCTGTTCTGTGATACATATTATTGAGATAGAGTCCATAGGTGGACGTTTCTTTCAAGTATCTTAGGATTCGCAAGGCCGCTAGCCAATGGAAGACTCCCGAAACTCTCGCATCACATTTTGCAAGTGGCTCGCATCTGCGACCTTTTTGATTTTTTAATACCAATCGCAAATTGCGGAGACCTAAAAACAGTCTCCGCAAGTTGCGACCACGCAAGCAAAGCCACCGTAGCAGTTTATACAAAATCAAAGCGGAGTTTAACGAGTGGACAACACTCTAACTTATATTCCAAGTTATGGGTCGTGGAAAGAGTTGGTGCCCCCAGGGTCTGTTGAGTTGATGCTCGACGGCATCCACGAGCTCATGCCAGCCGGAAGTAACGGCTGGGATGAAGTTGCCGCCAAGTTCAATGCTGGGTCATACCCTTTTCGTGGTGCAGAAGGTATCAGCTCAAGTTTTACACGGTTCGAAACCACGCAAAGCCCACCGGCGATCCGTCGTGCCCGGTGGATGTCGTTCGGGCCAAATACATCAGTCGTCGCATCGACGCCAACTGTGCAGTGCTCACTATAGAAGACGACAAGGATGACATGGACGACGACGGTTATGGCGATGGCAACAGTGATGGTAACGACTATGCGTCCGAGCAAGGTATCTCTATCCTATGCAATTCGGATATTCATGTGCCTGTCTTGTAGATGAATGCCAAGTCGAGATGAACGAGGTTCCTCTCCCTGCGTCGCGCCATGAGCACCCCAGTCGCTCCAGCAGTCGGAGCTCGCTATGTTGGGGAGCAGATTGAAGCGGGCCACATCGGGGCCCCCAGTGGTGGAATGACGTTGTATGTGGCGAAGAAACATCAATCAATTGACAAGTTTATTGATGGGGCGATGGTATCTGATGCCAAGGACTCGTCGGACATGATGTCCATGATGCTACTCATGGACGAACGCGCTGCTCAGCGCGAAGAAAAACACTCGACAAAGAGCTCGAATGGCGGCTGCAGCAACAAGAGCGTGAGGAAAGAGTCCAGCGAGATCGATCTGAACGCGATGCACGACGCGATGAAATGCAGCTCATGCTGTTCACCAAGTTTTTGGTAACAAGTAGCAAATAAGAAAACTTTCGAGATGTATTTTGCTTTGATTTGCAATATTTGCTTCACAAACTTTGGAGAAATAGTCCTAAATGGATCAATTTTAGGAATATATATTTAGTTTAGGCACCCTTTTTCAAAATATAGTTCCACTTTGGTGAATTCGTGAAAAATGTGTCGAAAAAGTCAAAACGAAGCTAGGAAGACGAAAACAATTCAACTAAATTTCCATGGCATTACGCTTGTCCGTGGTTGAGTCAGGACAAATTAGGACATATTAAAGGTGCCAAAATGCATACAAAGAACTTGCTAAATTCCAAACACATTTTTTATCTGACTTATGCCTGTACGCCGGACACGGTAGTTGTAAAGTCGAAACATATTGCTGAGTCTTGTGTTGCGCAAAGCTGGATTGAAGGGTAGAGGTAGCAAGTGCTGTCGTTAAACCTTTGGGATGACCCCCATTCCCCACTCTGCAGCCTGACGGAGTGACGTAATACAATCGCTCATGGTCTGCAGTCCAGGGCGACACTCGGGTGGGTATCCTTCCAAGTCGCCCTGCTTCAACGGCGTGACGATTCGACCCAACGCTAGGCCACCGACAGGAAAAGCTGAATCCGACGCCAACTTCATTCCCGGTGCAACGCGGCTGCCATCGGCCAGCCACTCCTGCAACCTTCGGCTCATCTCTCCATCGTTCCAGGAGCCCGGGCAATTATGGCGGCCCAAATGATCGTGCCGTCGAGCCCGAAGCAAAGCACGCCAGAGACAAAGACCTCGTGCCGTCGAGCCCGAAGCAAAGCACGCCAGTGACAAAGACCGAGTGTAACCAACCTATATCAACATCAGTGTCAATTGCATTCACGGGTCATACCGTTGTAATGAGCGTTTTGCAAATCGGCACACGACAGTTCTTGGACGCGACGGTTCTTGCCGTCGACAAAACCAAACACGCCGCTAACTAGTGGCTCCCGCTCTTGCGACTTGGACGCCCAGTACAGCTGCGTGGCCTTGGATGGCCAATTGATCCAGGCGGCCGACATGCATTGGAGTGCCCTGGACAAGGCGCCTTCACCCCGCCGCAGCAGTCTCGAGAGTGTCGTTGATGCGACGCCAAAGAGCTCCTGCAGTGTCTTGTGCTCGACGGGTGCCGTGTAGAAATGCAGCACAATAGAGAGAACAGCATGTTTATGCTGGACACGTGGCGGCCGGCCACCCCTGCCTCGCCGATAAATCGACGTATTCACGAGCGAAGGGTACAAGTAGCTAGTCAACGCATTTGGTGTCAATGACACAGTGGTTATAAATGACGCTCTATAACGTGAAGCGGTGTCTGTTTTGTTTTGTTGGTAACGACGCTGTTTGAACTCTGTTGCGTTCTTTGAGAGATGCACGTAGCTTTAGCGCACGCATTCTCCTGAGCAACGAGCGACGTCTGGCTGAGCGAGCCATCAAGACCATGTTGAGGTCAGTCCCCATGGTTGTCAAGTGTGCTCATGTGACCAAGTAACCACGAATTATTCAACAAATGAAATGTAGTTATTGATTCGTCATCGCCCAATTCGAATACAAGTATTTGCGATTTTGCTGTAGTTTTGGTAGCCTCACGTCAACCAATCTTTGATCAATTCCCACAGACAGCAAAAAAATACAGGTGCTATCCGGATGTGTATGCGATGCGAGGGGTGTTTGCGAGAGTTTCGGGGATCCTCCAATACCTTTCATTGTAGCATGTTAGAAATCTACTTAGATCGCGAACTGCATTTGCAATGTAAGGTCTCGTGCCTCTGACGATATACTGCAATGATCCTATAAGTCCCCTGTAGTCGTAGGGTTGCGCATCAATCTGCTCCCTTGACATGTTGCTTTCAGCAATCAACTCTTGTCCTACTATTTGAGGTGTCGATACTGTTGAAGCTTCGGTCATACCGAACTTTCCATCAAATCATTGATGTACATATTCTGAGAAATCGTCTTACAGTGGGCGAGCCCATCGAGGGGTCCGGGGGTGTTATTGGACGAAGTATTTGTCCAATTCAAACGCGTTTTTTTAAATCGATGCATACTCTTTAAACACATATACTGTCAAAATTACAGGCTTCGGTGGATAGTAATCTCTGAGCTTAGCACAGAAAACTGCCCATTTCTGTGTATCCAAGTCTGCATAAAATAAATGGACCAACGCGACTTAACAGCATCGGGCAATCCCAACGACGACCTCGACGCCGACGAGTATTGGGCAGAGAACGATGCTGCCGATCCTGGGCGGCAAGCCGACGCCCCACTTGACCACGAAGTTGCAGCACGTCACACAGGCAAGGGCAAGGGAAAATCCAAAGTCGTCCCACGTAAGTTCCCAACGCCGGAAAAGCGCCTGCTCCCTCGAAAGGACTTCTCGTCCATGTGTATGGTTGCGCAGAATGAAACGACTCAGCTGAAACGTGAGAAGTTCGAATACATGAAAGAAAACAACAAGAGCATTCAAGCTGCAGCCGCCGTCATCGATTTGCAACGTGCCAAGGAGTCCTTCGTCGAAAAAATAGTAGCGTCAGGTGTAGTGGACACAGAAAATATCCGCGAATTATTGTCGATTGCGTTTGCGCAAGAATAAAGAATTTTCAATGAACAATATTCAATGAACAATATTCGTGTTGATAATATTATTCTTCCAAACCTAAGTAGTTGAGTAATTCGGACTTGATGGTTTCGCGCCACATAAGGGAACTTGCAGCAATTGGAGTATTGCTAGCTACCACTGGTCGATGCTTTTCAACAAACGGTGGTACTGTGTCTTCGCCGTTGCGAAGTCGCTTTACAACGTTGTGGAGGATACAGCAGGCCAAGATCCAATCGCAAACATCTTTCACATCACTTCGCTGCCTACCAGACCAAAATATAAATATATTTAATAATATAGACTGACAAATATATGACAAAATATATATAATGCCTGATACAAATAGGAAGTGCCGACAAGCTTGACCAGCGCCCTTTCAAGATCCCGTTGCCGTGTTCGCAGACCTATACTCGCATGACCGGTGTTGAAAGCGTCGTCGCCGCTGGCGCTTGAGTAGGGCAACCGATACGGCGTCAGCATGCGCAAGTCGAGGGAAAATCCTGAATCGCCCCTTGGTATTGGTTGTCGTAAAAAAACCCGTCTGGACGCAGGGCCGGCGATGATGATGCCCACACAGTTGAGTCGTGAACGCTGCCCGGCCAGCCAGTGATGACGTGTCGGATTTGGCGTTTGTAATCAAACGTTAAAAGAACATTCATGGAGTATTCCTTCTTTCAACTGTAATATACCTCGCCGTTCAAAGCTGGTTTTCGGTACAAAACAATATGTGTGCCATCAGTAGATAAAATACAGTTACGAAACCCATATCGTTCTGCACTATAACTGGCAAGTTGACCACGCTCACAATGATTAGGCCAATTGATCTCGAAATGGGATAATGACACTAAGCATGAATAACACGTTTAGTGTAAAGATGAACAGTCCCAATCCCAATTCCTTTTGCTCGTGACACCATCCCTGCGGACGAACCAGTGCCATTATGGCCGATGCGGTGCAGTGCGCAGGCAAACTGTACCCATACCGGTCGTTGAGCTCTATTGCTCGTCGGTTGAAAGATGGGGTTCAGTTCAATCAACTGTACGATATATGCAAATGTGCTCTGACATACACGAACCTCTTGTACAAAGTCTCCAACAGCCATAAATGGTAGAATGGATAGTTGCTCTAAGGATCGAGGGAGCGAAGCACGGGAGAACGTATAACGTGAACAAAGTATCATGTATCGAAGTCGTAGAAATTCATCAATGTCCTTCGATGCAGAGGGGCTGCAGGTAGCAAGAGTTCGTACCATCATATCCAAGTCCACAAGGACTGCTGCTCGCTCTGAGAGCTGTGGCATTTTGGACAATGAAGTGATCTATGCGGATACGGATAGCGGTTGCGGCTGAATCGTTGGCCTACATTGACTCTCCATTGCTTTTCATTCAACAATAATAAAATACACAAAACAATAAAAAATTGCTTTTCAAAAGTGGTCGAAAAGCAAAAGCAAATCGAAAATTCCTATATTGACACTCCCTAATACTCTTTGTAGCACCGTACAAAACCCATTTCTGTGAGGAAAGCATGTAGAACATTGTACCAAATTCTAGGTGCCTGGTGTAAGCCATAGAGACTCTTCTTTTGGCGAAAAACAAACTCAGGTCCTTTCCTAAAGATCCATTTGATGACACTCGACGTTGAGTATAGTTACTAATGCTAGTACAAGTCGTAATGACTCATATCGAGCTACGGGAGCATAAATCTCGTCTCAGTCGACTCCAACTTGGTGGCAACCTTGTGCTACGAGTCGTGCTTTGTAACGCTCAATGTTACCATTGGATAAATATTTTACATTAAATACCCAATGGCAGGGAAGAATCTTTTCATCCAATGGCATTGGACATAACTCCCATGTGTCATTTTCCATGAGTGAGTTATATTCAGAATCCAGTGCCTGCACCCAGTTGGCGCGATTGTCACATCGCATGGCTTCCTTGTAAGACTTTGGTACTTTATGACGCATGCGATGCTTATCAACAGCGATTTTGTCGGTTA